TTTTTTTTTTTTTTTTTTAATGGTCTAATTATTCGGGTCAATTTATGTGCACTTCAATGAGATTAATTGTCTCACTATTACTATGTTCTTTTGTCTGTTCTTTATTTTAATGGAGTGTGTAGTTATTATAAGAAATTGTGAATGCTTGTGTAGTTATTATAATTAATCTAAATTTGTTTTATGAAAAAATAGACAGAATTAATCTCGGATGGAATTTATATCTTTTAGAATATAAATTAATATTTTTAAATTTTAAAGATATAAATTAAAATTTAAGTAATCTTTTACACTACAAGTTGAGATTAGACGTTGATTGCATCCTTGTAGCCATATCCCATTGTCGGTTTTGCTACCTTGGATGGCTTCTTCTTCAAAATCCACCTTAAATGGACTTGATTCTTTCTTGGTACCTGGCCTATCTTTCCAGCATCACCTTGAATGCCACCCCTCAGAAACATGTAACAAATAAAAAAAATTATAAATAATTGAATTAACAGTGGTGTCTAATATTTATTAAGATTTACCGTCAATTCAATAATTGTTATAGATTTGATCAATAAATTAAGTAAATTAAACCTAAATAATATTATTGTATGATCGAAATACCATGTTATTAATCCAATTATTTTTATTATTTTTTTAATTCACCGGTAAGAATGTTCAATTTAACTTATACGCATCTCAAGTAATCTCATCTTCAGTCCAGTCTAAGGTAGATAATTCACGTTAGGACTAAGATATTCATAAAAAATAAATCTCTTAAGACACACACCTGAATTTATAGTTGGGCTAATTTCGACTTACACCTTGAAAGATCATTTGAATCTCAATTTGCACCCTCAAAGTTTAAAAATATGAATTTATTCCCTCCAAAGATATAAATACGTATCAATGTGTACCTGAAACTAACTGTCATCTATTTTGTCGTTAAAAAAATTTGGGTTTATTATAAATTACACCTCTCAAAATTTAAATATTTTACATTTTTGATCCAAAATAATTTCATTAGTTAATGCTCGTTAAATAGCTCTCAATTATATAGTATCGTAATATTTTTGTGTTGTGTTTGAGTCTATAAAAAAAAATATTTTTAACAAAAAATATGTTCGTGTTGAGTCAATTGCGTTGTGTCTTATATTTCACATTTATGACAATTCAAATAATATTTTTAATATTTTTAAAAATTAAAAATATCAATTTTTTTGCCTATAATACTTGTTAAATAACTATTTTTTGTCTACAGTTGTATTATTCATATATAATTTTAATTTGAGCAGACAAACAAAAGATTTATGTCTAACTATAGACATAAAATAGTTATTTAACGAGTATTATAAGTAAAAAATAGATATTTTTTAATTTTTTTAAAATTTTAAAATATATTTTTTATTAACTCGAATACGACATGAAAATGTTATAATATGATACAATTGAAAGCTATTAAATGAAAATTAATAGATGAAATTCTTTTTAGATCATAAAAATAAAATATTTAAACTTGGAGGGTATAATTTATAATTAATCCAAATTTTTTTAAGGGCAAAATAAACGGAGTTAGCCCCAGGTGTATATTGATACAAGTTTATTTTTTTCAAGGTATAAATTAATATTTTTAAATTTTAAGGGTAAAAATTAAAATTTAAATGATCTTTCAAGCTACAAGTTGAGATTAAGTTTGTTACCACTTAAATTACTTTTAAGTTATTAATCCAATTATTGTGGACTGCATTCCAGTCCAAAATATAGGGCTACGTGGGCCAGGCCACAGGCCCAAGGCACTGTATACATTCGAATCGAAAGCATTTAAAAAATAGCACACGCTGCCCGTGAACCAGCACCACATCTCCTCTTTCCTTATCCCGCTCTGAAAACTACCCAATTTCTCACGAGATGAAGGGTTCTATGAAGGCTCGATACGAAACAGACAAAGTGGCTGGCGTTGCGACCGTCGCCTTCAACGCCGGCGATGTCAAGCTCCGAGCCTCCATCACCGATGACACCATTGCCAACGGCCCCAGCTTAAACGGCTTAGCTTTAGCCGTTGAGAAACCCGGCTTCTTCATCGTCGACTACAACGTCCCCAAAAAGGTCCCAAAATTTGAATTAGAACAAACATAAACACACAGATTCTATATCTATATGCATTATTGGATTGAATTATTATGATTTTATTCTTGTTTTTTTGGGGTTCAGGACTTTAGGTTTCAGTTTAAGAACACAATTAAAGTTTCGGAGAAACCGTTGAATTTGACTTACAGTCATAGTATAGGTGATAATCGAACGATATTGGATGGAACGCTGGTGATCGATTCGGCTAATAAGGTATCAGCGAATCATGTGCTTGATTCGGGGAATTGTAAGTTGAAGTACACTTATGTGCACGGAGGTTTGATGACGTTTGAGCAGAGCTATGAATTGGCAAAGAATTCGTGGGATTTCGCGGTGTCGCGGAAGGTTTATGGGGATGATGTGCTTAGGACTACGTATCAGACTTCGAGTAAGGTGTTGGGGCTCGAGTGGTCGAGGAATTCGACGATAAATGGATCTTTTAAGGTATATAACCCTTGTTTACATTTTTATTTCACAATTGCATTTGCGAATTGAGGTTAATGAAGTTCTTTGCATGTACTGTTTATGTTTAATTCAATTAGGGGTGTAAAGTAAACAAATTTTCTCAAGCTCACCTCTTGAGTGGCTCGATTTGGGGCTCACTCAAGATAAAGGAGCCAAGCTTGAGCACGTGTCTAATGCACGATAAATCATGATTAAGCTCTTTATGCTTTAAGAAAGAAAAAAGCTACAGCACGATTGCTTGGTTTCAAGCTTGATCGGGATCAATTGGTAAGATAGAAGATCCATTATTGAGCTTCATGTTTGAGCTCATTACAGTATCTGGGCCAAGGTTGGGCAACCCACTACTTGACCCAACTCGGTTCATTTAGACACCTAAATTCAATTGCCAAAGATTATGTGTGTTTTGAGATCCTACATTAATACATCGAGAAAATGTTGATTTTATTGGCAATGCCATTAATAATGTATTGCATCAGACACTGAGGTTTTTTCTAGACTCTTAGATCATTTGAGTTGATGTGATTGAACTTAATTTTTTTTAATTTTAATTACGGAGTCCAACATATGAACATATAAATGATTTGTACTTGTTTGCTAATTAATGTGGCAAGTTTCACTTGTTCAGGGTTTCTCTCTCTCTCTCTCTCTACTTATTTATATATATAAAAGGCGTACTCAATATACGAGATTCTTGCCATTGCGGGGTCTGAGGAGGGTAGATGCACGCAATCTTATAAGCATAGAAATTGTTTCCACAATTTGAACCATTCAAACCGTTAACCATGCCACATACAAATTGGTCCATACACCACATGTGAGTATTAATGTCCATTTCTATGTGGACATGAACAGTAAACATATCTATGTTAACCCATGGAAATTAATATAACCCTAAAGTAATATTCAAATTAAAAACAACGCGAAATATTATTTGACTCAAAACAAGTATTTAATTATACACAGAAAACACTTTAATTATTCAAATATATGATGTAAATGCACAAAAAATAATTCAATTATTCAAATATGTAGTCTACTTGAGGCATGTCAATATACTTATGCACTATTTGCATCTCTTAACCAAATCAAGCATTTTTTCTTTATCTTGGCCCATAAATAGGGAGGATTGAATTAGGTACCTTAGCTTATATATCAAAGGTGGTTGTTCCTATATAGATGTTAGAGAGAAAACTAAGATTAAATGAAATTAATATTACATTGATTATACACACATACACAGAGTAGCAAAGGCGGGCCTTGAGGCAACGGTAAGGTTGCTTCATTGTGACTTGGAGGTCATGGGTTCGAGTTGTAGAAATAACTTCTCTACTTACAGAGGTAAGGCTGAGTACATTTAACCCTTTCCAAATCCTACAATGACTAGACCTCGTGCATTATGTACGAACAGAGAAATGCGCACCATTCATTATTCACGTTGGTAAAAACTAAAAGTTAATCAAACTTCAACCGGTAAAAATAAAACAAAATTTTCCTTCCATTAGATCACATTCAATATTCAAGAATTGACGACATCCTTTCAGTACCCCAACCCTAATTATTCAAACATAGAAAAAATATCATACAACGTAAGAAACAACTGTTCAAGCAAACCCATCAAATAGAAACATCAATCCAACCCATGCCCACGAAAATCCATGTCAATCAATAGAAAAATCAAAATAAATCCCATGAAAAAGAAGCCTAAGAAACAGAGTACCTTAGTTGGACAATTGGACATTTTTTACTCCGAGGCAATTTAACAAACACATAGAGGGAGAGAGTGAGAGTGAGAGTGCTGTTGGGGAGAGATAGAGACGTGTGAGGAAGAGATGGAGAGGAGTTGGGGGAGTGGAGAGATATATATAGAGTTGTCGGGTCGTTCATGTCTCTATTTGAAAACATTTGGGTGGGATAAAATTTTGTGGGCAAGAAAATATATTTTTGAGAGTGAATTTTATCCGTTAGATTGACAATGAATATTAATAAAATGATCGGGATTCGGGACGTACAAGCGATACAAGTTGAGATATTCAAAATCCCTTGTATTTTTTTTTTTTAAAAATGGGGCAGCATATATATATCCCGCCCCAATTTTTTTATCCTAGTGCCTCATTACCCAATTTTGAAGTTTTCCAGGTTAGATATTATTTATAAGAATAACAAATAGTGGTACATTGAGTGGAGGAAAATTAATAACGTTTCTGGCATAGATAGATTGTAATACAATATGCAAAAGAAGATCTTCCACATTAAGAAGATCCTTGTTAGTAGTTCATCTACATTGAAAACCTTTACCGCCTACATTCAGAGATCCGATCTTCTCCTTAAGATAAATGAAAATCAATTTATGGGCCATCAAGCTCTACAAGGGGAAACTGAACTTTCATGCATGGTACTTAGCAAATGTTGTGGTAGATTAACTTGTAATTAAGTGAAGAGGGGTTTTTTCTACTGCAGTATCATATTTTTCAGCTTAACCTTGCTTATTAGTGCCGATGTTGCTCCATTCTGCCTTTAATTTAACTCTGGTGTCTGCTTTTGGATTGACAACATATTTAGTAGGAACTAAAACCAATGTTGGGCTGTAGTTGAGGTCCTTACACTAACTCGGGCATTTCTAGAAAATTTTCAGACATTGTATGATATGGGTTCTCCTCAAAATTTGTAATCAATTTGTGGAAAGAGGATTAAAGGGAAGGAATGCCCTCAACTCCTCGTAGAGATAACACATTGGATTTTTGGTTTGTTTTGTGGTATCTTTGTAACTTTTAATTTGCGGTACATTGATGGTCTTGTTGGAAACTTAGAATTTTGGTTTCTAGGATCAGTTGTATAGCAGGTGACACTCAAGGTTAGATAAAATGAAATGTATAGGACCTTTCTGAGTCATAACCTAATCTTTCTATTGTCACTCTTTTTTGTGGGCTGTATCTATGTTTCCATATAAATGACACTGTTCCATGCTGCTTGTGGCATAAAATGCAGTAGTTACCTTAGAACACCAAGTTGTCCCTACGTTGTGTTAAATGTAATTATCACTTAAATGAGATCAGTTATACTGGGTTTCTATGGCATCATGTGCCTATAGTCAATAGCTAGTAGCGAGTTCATTCGACGAATCATTCGTTGATATTTTCCCCCCCTGTTCATGGACTCATGGCACTATTTGTATTGTCAAGGATGTTTGTGTGGTACTGAGTTTCCACATGCAAGATCCCAAGGTGACAGCTATGAGTGCTCAAAATTCTTGGGTTACTTATTTGCTTCCTATCTTTTTTGGAACTTGGTTTTAACTTTGGTTGGTTTCTGCAGCTTTCAGCATCCCTCAATTTGGCAGATGATCGAGCAATGCCAAAACTAACTGCCGAGAGTACATGGAATTTTGAAGTATAATGTTTATTGTTTCACTTGTCCATGCAAATATGCAATTATTCAAATTTAGACAAATAGCTTCCACTTTTTTGGGGGCACCATGTGGCCTTTGACTTTCATTTGGCCTTTGAAGACTCTCTGCACCTATAATTGAGCTGATTACCATGACTATGGTCAGCTTTACAACCATTTATTGACAAGATGGTGCTGTCATTTTTCTCATGGAGTGTTTTGGCCTCTAATGATTCAAATTTTGGTGCAGATTTATATGCATATTTTCTTTTATTGGCACAAAGGTTGTAGTGTTGTAACCTAAGAAGCACGGGAACGGACAGGTAGTATGGCTGTGTGCGTATGATTGTCTCTAGATCTTGCAGTAGCAAGAGCTTTTTATGTCTTGACCTTTGGCTGTGGTGCTATATGACTATTTTCTAGGAGAAAATATTCAGTGGTCGGCCGGTACCATCCGACACTGCCTGATGGTATACATCACACATAAAATGTTGTACATGTCAAACAAATGTACACTCAAAAAATTCATACATTTTGATGTGTGACAGTTTTTCTATCACTTGTCACCGTCCAAGTGATGATGTCTGTGACTCTGCCAAGCACTGAATACTTATTTATTTTCTAGACATTGAAGACCTTAGATTGAACGATAGAGGTGTAGTGTCCCTGGACCCTTGTGACATCAAGGCCCTACTCCTACAATGTCGGTCCAAAACTTGTGGTTGTAAGTTCGAATCGAGGATACTCACTATGTGTATATGGTGTCAAATATTGGGTTCGTATCAAATCTATCCTTTTCAAGCCATTATTAATGTCACTAAATTGTTTGATAAATTATTTATTTTTGGGTCAAGGTGTCCTAAGAAAAGGGAAATTTCGATGAGAGTTCTTAGCAAGTGGTTATAATTTTTTTCTTTTTGTGTTTTTAACTTCCAAGTTAATAAAACTTAGTTGAGGAGTAAAATGATAATTATAACAATTATGAAAAAGAAAATTAAAATCTGGGTGTTTTTTACTCAGTGTTCAACAATTAACAGTTAGAAATATCAAATTTAGACTTTAAACTTGATACAAATATATTGTTGTCCATGCACACGACTCTTTAATTTATTGAATATTTAGTGAAAATTAGTGGATCTCACTGATCTGAAGGCGAAACGGGATATAATAACACAGAATCAAGTATTTTTTTTCAGAATACTTGTTGACATGCGAAATGAGATTGGAATCAAGGCCAAGGACAAAAATCCTACCATCGACCAAAAGACCAAGAGTTTTAATTGAAAGCCAACTTGGTATAATAAGAATCCAATTAAAAAGCAATTATTGCTCTGATTTTAAGATATCCCTCAAAATCCTAGGTCAAGACTAGGAGTAGGTCTGTTGGTACTGGGTAGTCAATCTAATAATATTCCGAGATACAAAATTTAGTAAATGATTTGTTAAGTATAGTATTACTTTGACGAGACATACATATATATATATATAAATAAGGGTTAATTATATCGGAGATTTCAAAAAATATAGAGTTTATTTAATTTTAGTCTTTAATATTTTAATTAAATCATTTTAATCATTACAATATTGAATATATTTTTATGTAATATTTCAAGCAGACACCATTCAGATTATTAATGATTTTTTATTATAAATTTATTATGTAATTCTTAAATATGGGCAAAAATATAAATTTATAAAAATTTTAAATGTTATCTACTTGAAAGACTATATATAAACATGTTTAATATTTCAGAAAATAAAATGATATAATTAAAATAAAATAAATTATATATTTTTAGAACCTTTAGTGTAATTAACTCCCTGACCAAACTGCCGTCGGCGACAATTCACTAAAATCTTATTGTTGTGTGATTGTCATCCACAACGTGGCAATCCTTTAGGAAACAAGCCTAAACTTGCACACGTGTCATTTGGTGCTAAGAGTACTCAGCACCCGTAAGCCGCAGTGGATAATTTCTCTTCCTTACCAGTTGACGAGACCTGGAAAATCGAATTTCCTGCCCCAACAACAAACACAAGTCAAAGAATCCACCAAATCTGTGCGATTCACTTCTCAGGCCTTTCAATCATATCCACCAAAACCATTCCAATTCATCTCTCAATCACTCATATTCCATTTCTAAACAAAGATCGAATCACTATAAAAGCTCTGTGATTGAAGAATTATGAAACCCTAAAACCCTTCACAGCTTCTTTAATGGCGAGATCTCATATAGGTAAGTTTTTCATACTCTTTTTGCACTTAATCTTTTGTTTTCCACTCATTTATAGGGTTTTTGCAAACACAGACTCAGTTGTTGTAGTTGAAGACGAACACGTAAGTACTGATCATCATCGCGAACCTTATGGCGATGATGCTTTGAGTGTGTTGAATCAACACCAGATTCAGCTAGAAAAGCTTGAAGCGCTTGTTAAAAACCTTGGCGAACTGGTATCTAGGTTAGAATCACGTTTTACTGATGAAGAAAAGTTTAAAGTTGAGAGGCTGTCGCGTTTAGGTATTCAAGAACAAGATAAGTATGATAGGAGAAAGAGCGACGGTGATGGATTTGCTGAAAAGATTGGACATGAAGGTTTAGAGAGTAAGAAGAGATATAATGGGAGAGTAGGAGCGGTGTCTGTTACGAAGTATAGCCCATTTTGGTCAGAGAAGTTTCGGTTTGTGTCGGCTGTGAAATTGGGCTCTGATGTTACTTGTATCAATGTGTTGCCGTTCAGGGATTACGAAGGATTGACTAGGTATGTGGCGGTTGGGGATGATCAAGGGAGGATCTATGTGTTTTCGAGAAATGGGGATGTTTTGGTTGAGTTTAGTACATTGTCGGATTCACCGGTTACAGCCATGGTATCTTACTTGTCGATTTATAAGAATGAGACAGTGTTGGTTACTGGACACGAGAACGGTGTAATTTTGATGCATAGGGTTTGGGAAGTGTCAAGTGGAGAGGAATCGAGTTTGCTTCGTATTGAATCTGTGGGGAAATTTCCTTTACCTGAAGTTGGGGAAGATGGGTCGACCATTACTATTCTGGAAGTGCATCATGTTGGGAGGACTAGGTACATTTTGTCTTCTGATGATAGTGGAAAGATAAGGGTTTTCCGGGAGAGTGGGACTCAATATGGATTGGCAGTGCCAAAAAGCAGGCCACTTGTGTTCTTGAAGCAAAGGCTTTTGTTTCTTACAGAGACTGGTGCGGGATCATTAGATTTGAGGACCATGAAAATCAGGGAATCGGAATGCGAAGGTTTGAACAATTCTGTTGCTAAGAACTATGTTTTTGATGCCACGGAAAGGTCGAAAGCATATGGCTTTACATCAGAGGGTGATTTGATTCATGTGATATTGTTAGGTGATATAATGAACTTCAAATGCAAGGTCAGATCCAAAAGGAGTTTTGACATGAATAAGCCTCTAGCTTTTCAGGCAATAAAAGGGTATTTGCTTCTTGTTAACCAGGAGAAGGTTTCTGTGTATAATGTCTCATCTCAGCATTATGCCAGGGCTGGCGGGCCAAGGCTTGTATTCTCTGCAGGTCTAGATGAGATCATAGCATCATTTATGAATAATCAAGCTGTTGATATAGATTCCCAAAATAGAAGAGTGATACCATTAGTAGCCAGTGACCGCGAAAAGCTTGTTATTCTGAGTCTTGGAGGTGGGTATGTGGGGATGTATCGCTCCAAGCTTCCTGTTTTCAAAGGAGAATTCAATAGCATGCTATGGACCAGTCCCGTTTTGTTCTTCATTCTTTTCCTCTTTGGTGCATGGCAATTTTTTGCCAATAAAAAAGAGGCTCTTACCTCTTGGGGCCCTAATGATCCTTTTACTTCCACATCAGCTACTAATGGAGCTCCTTTAGGATCTGGATCTGGTGATAGAACTTTGGCAGATTCATCCTCAAGGAATGCTGATATTATGGGTCTCAGAGGTGCTAGTCTAAGGGGTACGACAAGGAGGTATGGTTCTCCACCCCGGTATCCTGGTGGAACAGCTAGTTCCTACGTGCCAACTTCGGCTGATACAAACTCTAGACCTGCTTCTTCTGGTGATCCCCATTTTAGAACAGCATCGGAGTTGAGATTTAGGGGGTCGAATGCAGAATCTACAGGTAGAAGAGAGAGTATATTTGTAAGCAGTCAACCTGTGGATGATAGCCATTGACTAATAACATCCATTGCATGCACTTTTTACCAAACTGAGTTGGTTGTTCTCTTCATTTGATCCTCAAAACTGTGCATTTGGCACTGGCGGCCCGGTTGAGCGTGCTGTTGTAGTAGCTTTTGTAACACTAGTTATGTGAGAAAGAAATTGTGAGAAAATTTTAAGCATTTTGTGCTCCAACTCTCCTTGAACTGTTGATTTATGGGAAAATTGGCAACCGTAGCTTTTGGTTTCCTGTGGTATGGTTCTTTTACTTCCTTCAGTTAGTTCAATGGCATCAGAGTCTTTAAACTTATAGCAAAATGTTCTTGAATTTCTTTCATGCCATATATAGTGGAAATTTAGTTCTTCAGAGCCTCTGTATTTCCATTAATCAGCAGCTTTGTTTATAAAATAGCTCCAAGAGCTATACGGAAAAAAAAACATTTGCAATCAACCTCTAGATTGTATGAGATTTAATATCAATGAATAATTTAGTGGTCATGATCTTCTAGAGCATTCATGGTTCATATGTTGATAATAGACCTGGATTTTGTCCATCGTTTTCAATCTTTTCTTTTTTTTTTTTTTAATAAGACATTATTCTAAGAGGGACAACAAGATTCAAACTTGCGATCTTCAAGTTCAACAGTGAAGATGATGACCATTAAAAATAGGGGCATGTACTCTCATTGAATTCCATGCAAAAAAAAACACCGAGCGGATTCCCCATTCTTAAACTGCATGGTTTATAAGTAGGCAAATAGCTCCTAGTCTGCAGCAAATCTGTAGAGCTAATATGAGGCTAATACCAATCATTTTCTTGAACAATGGAACTGATTATAGCATTATGAGGCAATTCAAAGTCAGACAATTTCGGTATGGCGAGTCAAAGTCTAGAATATAATTATTAAAAATTTGCGGAGAAATTAAACTTTGGTTTCAACTTGAGTTCGATTTGAACAACATTCTACCGAACCAAACTGGAATAAGAAGTATGTTCAATTTAAGGTTTTGTTTCACCCTTGTAGAGCTGGGACATGCTTCTCAGATCACATGCAGTTCTTGCATGTCTTAGTATAGCTGTTATAAGCTGTCCACTTCAACAGCTCGTATAGGAGTGGGCCCAAAATGGGTCTCAAGTTTGAGGTCATAGCATCTTTTCTTGAAATAATTCCTCACCTTTGCCCCTAGCCTAGTAGCTCAGATTGGGCATGACCATTACACTATTCTTTCTCGTCCATGAAACCGTGTATGTAAAGACTCTTCCATTCCCGGACATCGGCTTCATTCGTTTGGTCAATAACTCTGCCTGTAACAGATCTTTTAAGGCTTGTGTTGTAGACTACTTTCTAGACCCCTAATGTAGAGAACAGAAAAGATGGAAGAGGCCTTTGGGAAGTATTAGGCCTACAGCTAAACAACACAGTATATCAAAATTTAGGTAGATTTTAACAGACAGCAACACAATTTTAGATGCTAAGCTAGAAAAGGATCAGAAAAAAGAGTCTCCATAAACACTATCCATTGGAATTCAATAAATATTTTACATAGATCATCAAAAGCATTGATCAGACGGGGATTGGTAGACCCTTCTTCGCCATGCTATCAAGGACATCATTGAGAGCTTGACACAGTCCAACAATCTGCGAAATATCACAGCCAATGTTGGAGTAAAGCTCATGACATTGGACAGAGAAGTCGGCAACTAGTATGCAGGTTAGTGGAGTCATTTAAAAAATGCTACCGCACAGTGGTATTTGTATGTTGTAACTCTGATATGGCCTATCATATGACTCGCATTTGTCATGTCTTACACATTAAACAGGTAGATGCATAAATGGTATTCAATAATAATCAACGTGAAACGAAGCATGATGCTACTGCAATTATGCATGTAATGCTATGCTTACAACTAGATAGGGGCACGGGTCAATTACCTGTTGATCCCATTGTTGCAGTTCCTCCGTGTCATCCTCAAAATGAATGACAGCTTCAACCTGATACAGGAGAGTTTTTACATGAAAGCTACACACAGCAACAAGGGGAAAATGCAGTTGGTTCCTTGTTCCTTATTAACTGATTGATGATGGATGGCAAAATGAGTTGACACAACTAAAATTGAATAAATGATGCTATAGCCACAATATACGTCAAGAGCATGATGGAAATCTAGTCAATCTAAATGCAGTGACAAGGAGAGAGATGTTTCTAATCTCAAGTAACTCCTTTTTATGGATTGCAAAAAATTTACACACTTCAAGTCAGTAATAAAAAATCGCCAACATGTCCCATTAACTAACCACTCACACATAATGGAAATCTACCTGATCAATTACAATAAAGAAGTCAATTACAAGGAAGACTATACATTGCAATTATAAGAAAGTGGAAAACTACCTGATCAATAGATCCCCTCATTCTGTCTTCGTATATCATTCTAGATGCTATCTTCTCAGCCTACAAAGAAAAATTCAACCCAAGCTTCATGTATCATCTTCTATTATTGCTAAAAGGAGGAGGAAAAGAAAGAGGGGGGGGGGGGGGG